GGAACTGATAGAAAAATTCACTCTGGAATGTCATGTTTGTCCATTGTTGTTTTAATTGTATTAATGAATAAAAATTAAAAAAAAAAAAAAATTGTAGAAGGACATTCTTCAAGGTTCTTCTCTTTTCAATCAGTCTTCTGCCTTAGGGCACACAGAATGAACTACCCATGAGAGGAAAAATAAAACCCTTCATCTTAATAAAAATATTGAAAAATAAATCCCATACATACTATGTTTTCAAGTATGGGATCCAATACATTTTTCCCTTTCCACAAAAATCAGGGCAAAACCAAAGGACCATAACAGTTTTTGTTCTTCCTTTTTTCTTATCCTTTACTGTTAGATACACCTTTTGATTTAAAATCGACATTTTCCTTATTTTTATTTGCTCAAACTTTCAAAGGGATCTTTTAGTTTTATAAAGAAACCCAATTATTATTTTTGCTGCTTACTATCTAAATATATTTCCTCTTCTCAAATACTAACTGATGATTTTTGCAGTTTTTCAGAAGATGGAACCAACACTTCATTCTCCAAATTGTGAAATAAATATTTACATAGCACCCTGTCCACCTCCAAATCCAACAGACTGTCCCTTTCTTTCCTAGTCTGAACATTACCTTGGGATTTTTCTTAATTTTTTAACAAAATTGAAAAGCTGAAAGACTTAAAAAAAAAAAGCAAATGGCAAAAGAGGAAAGAAAAGATCATTTAGAGAAAGCTTTTCTTTTTTTTCTTTTTTAGTCTGCACTTTTAGAAAGAAACCATACCACCTACAATTTTTTTCTCCCAAACTTTCTCAATCTTGCTACAAAAATGAGGGGGAAAAAAAAAACACTGATGAAAACCCTAGAAAATAGCTTGTGAAATCCAGAATTTATTTCATAGCAGTTCAAAAGCATGCAAATGCAACTAGATAAATAGTTACTGCTTCAGCAGGAAAGGTTACTGTGTTCCATATTTTCATGGTGGCCATATGATGTCATAAATGTCTCTCAGAGAACTGGAGATGAGCACTGCCCCCTTAGGTCAGTAACAATTGGACAGGGGAAACCTTTACATCTTTATATCTATATCACTAATCAAATGTACTTCAATGAGTACCCAGAACTTTTCCTCTAGTTACCACCTGTGATTAGCAGTGTATCAACACCTTCTAGAGACGTCATAATTTTGATCTCTTACTTCCAACTTTATCCTTCATCTAGACCTTCAGAGAACAAGCTATTAATCAAGTTATGTGAACCACACATTCTGCGTTCTAAAGTTCTCTTTAATTATTTGATACTTGTGGATATAAAACACAAGAAGAAATGGAGAATATGTCCAGATAATCTTGTCCCTTAGACACAGATGTGTGTGTTATGTGCTCTAATTAACATCAACCTGAATGCAAAGAAGACTGGTTTAACTAAACACATTCTTAGAAGCTCTTCACATCCTCACTGCCCATAGTATCATAGTATTGTTTTTTTCAGAAGGAAACTCCAGTCCACTGTGGTTCCAAATGAATACACAGCCATTGGCTATCTTTACAAGAATATGACTCTTAAACCATGAGTACTGGCCCTCAAGATCGCCAAGTGTCACTGTAGATTTTGTAGGCTACAATGTGGGCAAACAATTGGCAACATCTGGGCACCATACTGCAAATTAACCTATCCAGGTGGTATTTTGAGATCCCCAAATTAAATAAAAATTGTTCTTTTCCTAACATTAAAATAAATGCAATCTGGTATCTACAAATCTAATAAAATGTCAGTATTCTTCTTCTTTTGGAGGGAGATACACCAAGACCTCATGAAATTTTAAGTCAGAATGCCAACGTCTCAGTAACACTGACTCCCTCCAATATTGTCACAGAACACAATAATGATTCATAGTTCAAACATTGGGCTAAAGCATCTATACTGAATACTTGTGAATTTCTGGCTTGTATGCTACATATATTTCCCCATTTTCTAACACAATTCATTTCTATTCTATCTTATTCATAGAAACAGGGAATTATTCCCTACAATTGCTTAGATCTATTTCTCAATTGCTTACCTGTCAGTAATTTCATCATAATCCAGAGCAGTGGTTCTCAACCTTTCTAATGCCGTGACCCCATAATACAGTTCCGCATGTTGTGGTGACCCCCCAACCACTTATACATCACCAGGTGCCAGGGACATGGCCAAAAAAAAGAGGAAAAAAATGGCGGACAGCCTTGTTTGGCGACCCCCATGAAATAGTCGTTCGACCCCAAATGGGGTCCCGACCCACAGGTTGAGAACCACTGATCTAGAGAGCCTTACAAACACAATCTGGATTTTTATATACCTTCATCTGCCATGACCTTACATGGTACACTGCAAGTTATTTTTAAAGGAACAAGCCTTCAAAATAGTGTGTCACATAATACAGGAGATCCTGGATTAAAGATCTGCTTAAGTCAATAAGCAGGCTTTGGGGTAATTATCTAGGAATACTTTGTCTAGCTGGTTCACAACTGATATACTGCATCTAAATTATTAGAATTGCCAACTGTTGGAATGAATCACAATGCAAAATTGCTCACACCTTGAGGACAGGACAATCTTTGGAATTTTTTTTGGTCCAAGATCCTTTTAAACAATGAGGATCTGTCAGATTATGCAATTTTAAACCATTTATTCTTATATTAAATATATTCAATATTTTCTAGGCTCTCTGGATCTCCTCTGTTCTTATTCTTGAGTCATGAAAGTGATCAATCTATATAATAAGGTGCCCTTGGTTGAATAGAGATGATCAGAGGAGAAACAGTGCTTTGGGCTCAAGCAATTTAGGGGGAAAATTCCATCATTGCTCTGGACTAGAGTTCAACTCAATTTTGTTAATGTTCATGTCAAAAGCTATGTCATGGCAAATCAAGCTGAAACACACTTTAAAAGACATTCAGAGAAAATCCCACTAGTTCTGATACAACAGATTTACAGAACCATGGCTCTAAATCACATTTTAAAAGGTCAATCAATATTTGTCCCAAATGTAGCTTTAAGACAGTTTTGTTCTGCAACTAGAACAAGTGTGGCAATTCTTGTCATTTAAAAGATACTTGTTTTTTTGCTTTGGTACCCATAGAAACAATTTGCTGAAAAAGGAAGGTAATTCCTTCATTTTGAAGACTATATAACAGATAAGCCAACACAATAGTTCATTTCATGCAGTTATACAGTAGTAATTTGAGAGCAGTGTGGTGGCCTAGAGGTGGAGCTCTCACTCAGGAGAGCTGTGAGTTCGATCCTAGGTAGCGGCAGATATTTTTCTCTCTGAGTGCAAAGAGAAATATCTGCTGTGAGCTCCGTGTAGGCATCAGGAAGGGCATCCAGCCACTTAAATGCTCAGCTCCATTCAGCTGGCCTGACTCCCTGTTGATGCAAGGGATTACAGCAGTGTTTCTCAACTTGACAATTTTAAGGCATGTGGACTTCAATTCCCAGAATTCCACAGTCAGCAATGCTGGCTGTGGAATTCTGGGAGTTGAAGTCCACATGCCTTAAAATTGTCAAGGTTGAGAAACACTGGATTATAGGGTTGTTAAAAGAAAAAAAATACAGTAGTAATTTGTCTTCACTTTTTTATTTTATACTCCTAAAATTTCCAGAAATTCTATCATCCCACTATGACTAGGTCTGACTTTCTTAGCTTCTGAAGGAGTCCAAACAAAATCAGCTTGATGCTACTATCAGACAGTACTACATACATTTAATTTTAATAAAAAGTAAATAAAATCAAAGGGTCAGTTTGGTATGTTGGTGAAGGCACTGGGCTACAAACCAAGAGTCTGTGAATTCTAGTCCTACCTTAGGCATGAAGCTATCTAAGTGATTTTGAGCCAATCATTCTGTCCCAGACCTAGGCAATTGGCAAACTACTTGTAAAATCTTGGGAAAAAAAAAACTGTAGGGACTAGTACAGGAAGTTGCCAAGAGTCCTGATTCAAAGGGCACAATAAACAGAAACTCACAGAGTAAATGAGATGCATTGATGTATTGCCCATAGAAAACCTTTAAAAAAAAACAATTCTCACCTTCAAACAAGATAGGGTTATAAATCTCTTCTTTAGTGTGATGTGTGACCCCAGATTACAATGTTGTATTCAATAATTTTAAGCACATTGTGCAAATTGGGCCATAGACACTCAAGGTTACGTAGATTGTGGTCTTCAAGATCCTCTATATGTAAGCCTTGTTAGTTTTGTTAAAACTTAGAATAGGGACCATTATATGCAGGGGAATACTCAGAAGTAAAACATTTAGGATTAATGGAAAAGCCATGGAATATAAGATAACTGAAAATATTATTATATGCAAAAGTGGAAAGATTAGACGCTATGCAGTAGGGAGGAATGGTTGGTGAACTTGACAGCTTTTCTTCAAAAGGATAAATTGACTTCACTGATTACAGAAAAGACATTACCTACATTTATGGATGACTGGAAGCCCTTATGTACTTTTTGCGTAAAAAATGAAAAAAAAAACCTTGTGAATTATGGTTTTGATAATTACACAGGATAGGTTATATAAAGAAGAGAAATATGATAAAACTTTAGAGAAAGAGGTTAAAATATATTTATAACTGCTGTGAAGAATATCAGAAGCCACTTTATATCTTTATATCTAAAAGTTTTAATTACACACAAACACACACATACACACAAAATAAAAACAGATTCTTAATATTAACATTTTAAAGTAAAGAATTGAACTCTTACATTTTCGGTTTGTTCTGTTCAATCTGATTTGCCTTAAGCACTTGTCCTCTGTCTCGAATGACAGGCATAACAAATCTTTCTTTGGTGAAGCATATGTTGCTTCTTTATCCTATCAGTTATCTCTCAATACTTGCAGCTACTGGGAAAGCACATATATCATACCTCTGTAGGTTTTACAGAGTTTCACCGCAAATGATTTCACTATTTTATGCCTTCGGTCCATCTGCCACCCACATCCAGAATTTCCCTCTGCACTTACGCTTCTGGAGAGAAATCCTTCTCTTTGCAAACCTCCATCAATTTAGGTGTCAGATGATATGCTTTTAGGGAGAGATAGCCCTGAGACGTTTTTATAGGATCTGAGAGAAATAAAGAGGAGAGCAATGAAATTTCATCTGAGCAATTCATATTGGGCAATTTTTTGTATGTCTTTTAATTATCAGAAAAAAAATGTCGGTATTGTTTTGATCCCTTTATGAAACCACAATTTGTGTAAAGAAACACGAATTGCATGTATTATTACTATTGGTATTGGCATTATTAAATGTTTTATTTTTATGGCTGCATATCAAAATATTATGCAATAATGAAAACAGATTCTATCTAAAAGAACATCTTAATGATTTAATTTCAAAATGATATACAATAGTGGAAATAGATCTTCTCTAAAAAATTGTATTGATTTAATTCCATTTCTATATAGAGATCAGTAACAAAAATGTATGAGTTATTTAGAATGGTAAGAATATAACAGCTTAGCCAACTGGGGAATTCTGGGAGTTGAAGTTCACATATCTTAAAGCTATCAAGATTGGGAAACTCTGGAACAGAATTCTATCCACAAAAAGAATGAGGAGCACCTTGGCTTGCATAGTTAGTACGCTGGATTGACAGCCCATGCTCAAGACCCAAGTGCTGCCATGGGATGGAGTAAGCTCCCATCCTTCACTTTAGCTCTTGCTGGGAACACAAAAGGAGCCCTCAACTGGTCATCCTCCAGTCAATGAGATGTCACCAACTAATCCTTTCAACCCGGAAGTGCCTCAATGCTTCCAATATGAGGGCAATGCAAAAAAAAGGAAGGAGATAATTGATTTTTTTGTCATATTCCTCAAAAAGAGTAGGAAGAAATTAAAACAAGCATATATTTGGGAAGACAATTCCACAGAACGGGGTGCATTAAAGCTTAGCTTCTTAAATTCCTGCCCCCCTTTTGCCTGGGGTTAAATGGTAACTATTGGAGTGAGAGTTCTCTTGAAAGAGCTGAAAATAACCCGTTCCATGATTTCAGAACCTCAATGTAGAGTAATTGTAAAGGCAGAAGAAGCAAAACTGATTTGCTTCTGAATGGCTTCCTGTTCCTATTCTTATTTTTGAAATAAGAAAAAGAGACAAAACTCTTATCATCAAAAATTGCCTATTTTGCTGCTGTATTACATAGGTGCAATCTTCAACTGCTGGAAAACCACATGCAGTCAGTCCATAGTTTGCCCATTCTGGATTAGAGTTTCGAAATGTGACAGCCAATATTTTAAATAGTTCCAGAAACAAATTGGGGATTGACACAGAAAGGAATACGAGAAAGCGGGAATCAAATTTCTAAAATAATACTAGAAAAGTGAGTTTTAAGAATTGTTATTTTATTTTCTTATCTTCCCCAATGCAAATAACCCAGACTCAGGGTCCACCCACTCATCAACAGCATTACCTCTTACCATATTTAAGACTCAAGGGAGGTACATGATGTAGCACAGTATGCAGACTCAGTATTTTTTTTTAAAAAAACATATTTATTTAGATAAATGTTCCAGTTGCCTTGTTTTTTTTAACGTGTACATACTTTACATGTTGATGAGCTATCATTAAAGATGGAAAAATTATGAATTTTAAAAAGAAAAAGTATATAGTCTCTAGGAAAAAGGAGCTGTAACATCTGTGGTGAGATAACAGCTGAGGCAGACTTGCCACACAGCAATTAAAAAAAATACCAAACAAAAATATATTTATGCTGGTTGTCTAAAACCCAAACCCAGCAAAACCTTTAGCGATCAAGTGATAAAATGAAAACCCAAATAGAGTGAAACAAGTGGAAAATTCATCAGGACCTGATGATGCAATATTTCCAGCCAGAATAAGTATATACTTTAACAACTTGTTCTTTACTGTAATCCAATTGTTAACATACTGAAACAATTTAGGGGCAGCTTGTAAGATTGATCGTATTCATTAGTATTTTTTCTGACAGACACTCAGGACGTTACATTTACTTCTCAGCTGGAAACTATATGTGAGCTTGCCAGATATGGCAAAACTGTTGAGTATTCAGGGAGGGGACAGCTATAAAGCTGTTAAATTGCCTACGGTTCTGATACAGCGCAGAACATCTGGTCTGGAGAGCTTAGGAAACGCCATTAGAAAAAAAAATCAGCAGAAAAGGGGGTGGGGGAAAATCTTCGTCAACGAAAACAGTCCAGGTTTTGTATGTTTCTATCAGATGCATAAAAATTGGGAAAGGGGCGGGGGGGGGGGAGAAGAGAAATACTTGGCAATCTGCTTTATGATTGGTCAGTCTTATGCCGAGCCAGACGTTCCAGCAAGCTGGGCTTGTTAAGACATCTGGTGTAGTTCCACTCGCCCCTTCCATGAGGGATGGGAATTGGGAGGAATAAAAATGAAGCAGCTCCTCTGGCATTCCAAAACATACACATCAGGGCTCTGATAGCAAGAAAAATAAACAAAAAGAAGGAAACTCTGTCTAGACTTTGCTGCTGCTGAGGCTGCTGCAGACACAGAGTTGGTATTTACTTGCAAAAGGTCTGCCAAGGCAGCTCTTGAGGCAGGGAGTTCATAGGCAATGTATATAATAATATTGAGGAATTAGGGGTGGTGGTGGTGATGGAAGGAATAATACAGGAAAACCACAAATGCTAACCGTAAATGAGAACGACAGATTCCTCTATGGCGTGCTGGTAACTGAACTGGGAATCCAGGAGAGCACGGGTAACAAAGGAGCCGTAGTATGTAGACTGATACCAGCCGACATGGAGATGGTCAATATTGACATGGCGAAGACTACGCATCATTTCCATCTGATATTGAACTGGAGAGAAGAGAGGGAAAAAAAGAGAGGAACAATAAGCATTTTGTAGGATAAGTTTACATCTGAATCTCGGCCATTTCTAAAGGATGCCCTAGTGCAGGGTAGGCAACCTTGGCTCTTTTATGACTCGTGGACTTCAACTCCCAGAATTCCTGAGCCAGCCATGCTTAGGGGAAAGAGAGAGGTTTCCAAGCTGAGCCATGCTGGCTCAGGAATTCGGGGAGTTGAAGTCCATGAGTCATAAATGAGCCAAGGTTGCCTACTCCCGCCCTAGTGAAATAAGGAAGGCTGAGAAGCTGCTGTCCTATTTGGATCTGAGGAATCTCTTGAGATTGCACAGTTCAGAGACACGAAGCAGAGTCCTGCTACTCATTCTTGACTTCTTTGAAGGCAAACCTTTCCAGGTTTTCAAGTGGATCTCAGGATGTCTAGTGCCTTGAATTTGGAGAGACAATCACAATGGATGATAGTTTTAAAACCTGTGATTCTAAAAGGAGGGATTAGTGAGGCATGTTCAGGTATGTTCAGGTAAAGAGAAACAATTTCTACTTGTCTCAGGAAAGTCCACTGCCAGAATTAATGGGCAGATTATTCAACCTTTGAATAAGGCAGTTACTCTCATTGCCTGAAGAGCTGGAAGGCTGGGCTGCTCCATTCAACTCTTCAAATATCACTTTTTCACAAGTACTAATACCACACTAAATATTCCCCATTCTGTGTCTGTACATCTGTTACTTCTCAGTGAACTTAGTATTTCTCTTAAATACTATATCAATTCTCTAAACTATCAAGACTGGTTAGGATTGCCCTTGCCTATCAGTCTTCTAAAGCATTTGTCTTATCCAATTATGTGTCCTCTGGAATAATAAGTATTCCCTTCATCTTTTCATTCAAATCTCTTGTAAAAAGTACAAGAATCAGAATTATTTGCCCCTCAATAATTTGTTCTAGTTTGAACTATTTGTGCTCACTCTTTGAATATGATTTTAAATCCAACTAAGTAACCATTAGGTTCTCACACCATCCAATCGGGTAACTAGCTTGCTAATCAGAATGCCATAAGGTACTTTTGTCAAATGTTTTGACTGTTTTCAAAATGATTACGGATCAATTGCTTTCTTAAATATTGATGCCTAAATGACTGATCAATAGTTCTCTGGATTCTTTCTCCTATTGATTTTTAACAAACATAACATCCTCTCCTCCAGTAATATGGGACTTGACTTGTTCTCCAGGACTTCACAAAGTTAGTAAGTAAGAATTTGGCCAGACTTTTGATTATACACAGCTTCACTTTGCCTTAAAATCACAAAGTCTAACATTATATGACATTCTCCCAGTGTTCCTATTATATTGACTAAGTATTTTTTCCTTTTGTGTGTTTGTGTGTATACTTTTTATTAGAATTTTAAAAATTGACTAAGTCTTTTCTTTTGGTTTGTGTCAAGTATAGCTGATCTTCCTGTGTTGTTCTGCACTCTCTAAATCAGAAAACTGTGAGCAAGACATAACAACAATTTTATGAAAGGACTATGCTTAGTAGAATTTGACTCTCAAAAATGTTGGGAGTCCCTCGTCGCTACAATTTCATGTCTCTCTTAACAATTTACAATATAAAATTCTAAGATCTACAGTGAGGTTTTCTAAAATATAAGTCACATTTTCTCTGTTTTCATCCTTCCTCATTATTTTGCAGCTGTTTTTAGCCCAGTCCAATCTGCCCTGGTTCCTCCAGAAAAGAAAAAAAAAAAAGGGATTAATTTCCATTTTTCCCAAGACAAGGTTTATCTATTGGTTTTTGCAACAACAGGGCCCCAGATCTGCTAATACGGCTTTAAATCAGTCTTTCCCAACAACTGTTAATCAAAACAACTGATTATTTAGGAAATCATATTTTGGATACAGCTACTCATTGCAGTTATAATTCTTTCCAAAGTGAAATTGTGCTTAAATAACCTCTATTATTGCCCATGCTTACTGCCCATTTCTAATCAATCAAACTACTGTAATTGGATAATATGTAATTATTTATAGCATGCTTTCTGAAGTGAACAAAAGAATCTTGCTGTATCGCAGAAAAGGCCTATTTAGTTGGGCCTCCTGTGTCCTAGATTGGCCAGCAAGATGTATTTGGTAGCTTGCTACATATTACAAGAGGAGTTCATACGTATGTATTACCTAAATATACCTTACAATAAACCTGTATGATAGCACTGTATTAAACTTTTACGTCCTTTGGGGGAGAAAGAGGATGGCAGTTTCAAAATAGGTTCCATACACTACCTAGGAATTTCATTTCAAAACAATATGCAGTCTATCAATCCCTGATTTATCTTTAAAAGACTGAAATAATGTGAAGAAGTAACAACAAATGGACCAACACTACTGCATATGGAAAAGGATTTGAGGAATCCTGGGTACTCTCTAAGCTTGGTTGTTTTCTTGCAGATGTTTCGTTACCCAACAGCACTGATGATGTTACCTAGTTTGGGTAATGAAATGTCTACAAGAAAAAAACCAAGCTCAGAGACCCCCAAGGACCCCTCATTTCAACCCTGAGCTACAAATATTCTCCTTTATTGGAAAAGGATTTCAATCTGTAACCATTGTCACAATGCTATATTTCTACTTTTTCCCAACCTGGATGCGGACTTAAAATTCAGGATAGTTGGTAAGTCTCTTAATCCATGTTCTATGGCATCCTTATAGGGTGGGAAGAAGATGGGGGTTTGTGTGATCTTCTCTTTCCAGCGTATTTGTTGGCTTTACATTCGGCAACATGCCTTGAACGGAATGGAGCAAATTTCATTATTCTGACTCAATTCTTTCTCCAATGATTTCTGAATCTTCTTTCAAAGTGGAATGTCGTTTTATCATTTAAATAAATACATTTACAGCAGAAACAAGAATGTGTGGCACAGGCCATCAGCTTCTTGCTGACATAAACAGGATCCAGACACAGAATGGAGACAATTAATACATTTTTATATAATCTTTGCATACACATATATACACGTAAGCTTCCAAAAAGCTAATTGAATTATTGTTAACCATTTCCAGAGTACAAATGAAGACAAGATTTTTTGTGTTGCAAAATATGCAGAAAGTTAACTATGTTAAATATAAACCCATAACGAAAAAAGTTTACAAAATAGCCTATAGTACCAGAAAGTTCTTTTAAACTTTTGATTTAATTTATATTTTACATACAGCTAATTTCACAAGAGAGCGAGTTTGTTCTAGTGGTTAAAGCACGAAACTAGAAACCAGGAGACTGAATTCTAGGTCCATCTTGGGCATGAAAGCCAGCTAGATGACTTTGGGCCAGTCACATTCTTCCTAATGTCAGGTCTGGGCAACAAGCCAATAGGTCAATTCCTGACACAATCAATGGAACAACAGTTGGTTGATTTGATAAAAGAAAAAAAAAGGGTACCCTGCATATGTGGGAAAACACTAGGAAGGAAAAAAAATAAAGGCATTTATGAAATAATAATAGTAGGAGGAGAAAATGGAGGTGGTTTATTGTTAGCTCTTTAATTCATTTTGAGAGTGGCCTACAGACCCAAATTTTCTCCAGATTTGATCCTTCAATTTTTAGAGTTTACAAGCTAAAAGCAGAGAGGAATGCCTAATTCTGACATTACAAAAAAAATGGGAATTGGATCAAGCCATGGGATCTTGCAGGACTCTCTCACTGGTATACAGATTAAAAACTTTGGAGACCATGGAAGTAGGGGGATTCCTACCTCTTAAGAATTTTTCAGAGGAAAAGTTGATATTCTGTGTATAAGTGAAATATACATAACAATTATTTGAATCCTAATTTAATTTGGGACTCTGGTCAAACAGAACGTTTGAGGGAAATCAAGTAAATAAATAAGTAAATATATTATTGTTTTGCTTTACCAGTTGAAAAAAACACAATTTATAACATCGTTTGGCATACTTACAGAGCAATTCCTCAAAAGCAAAACTCGGGTTAGTGGAATTTACTTATATGTCAAATCCCACAGCTGCATCCTTAAAAGTTTAGTACACCACTATACATATATGCCTACTTACAAAATAGGCTTCACTGAGTTGAGGAGAATGCATTCCACTGAAGTATACATGGCATGAAAACTGGTTCCTTCCCTCTACTTTTAGATTACTGTTCCAATTATCCTGGCTACAAACCATACCAAATACAATCAACTACCTTTTATACCGTTCTTAGATTATATGTTTTGAGAGCGTAGCCTTTTCTGGTAAGATATTCCATTTGCTCCAACAGAGAAAATATATATATATATTTTTCTTTCCTACCCCAGGTGTCCCAAATATTTCTAATTTTTCAATTTGTTCTTATAAAAAATGGGGAGAAAGGGAGATATGTTTTGAATTCTTTCAAACAGCCATAGTTTGCTTGACTATTTATTTTAGTCAAAGGATGTGGTAATGGTAAGAAATATTTTTTCACCCATGGCTTAGCCTCTCAGCACATCACAGATGATTAATATGCTTGTGAGGCACTACAGGCTAACAGATCTTTTAGTAGGCTAGTGTTATGCATATGCCAGATTTAAAATTCTTAGCTAGTGCTATAATATTGTGGCCAATTTGTCAAACTGAGGTCCACACATTTTTATTAACCAGATGAGATTTCTATTTCTATTTGACCTTTTCTTGGGAATGTGGGTCTTCTCCTTGGTGTTGTGCTTTAAGGGTGTTGAGATTATCCAGAAATTATCATCAGAGTTTGAAATTCAGAAGAAAATGCCTTTCTTTTTGTGTCAAGCTTTTAAACATCTTTAAAATCCTGCACAACTGTACCACACATATCTCCCTCTAGGTTTGTTATTATATTTGTGTTATAATTTTAACAGAGGTGGGTGCAATGGCTCAGCAATTAAAGATGCTGAGCTTGTCAGCTGGAAAGCTAACAGCTTGGGTTTGAGACCTGAGTGCTGCACAACAGGGTGACCTCCTATTATAAGAGCCGAGGTGGCGCAGTTAGA